CTCAGCAACTCAGGAGGCTGAGGTGGGAGGATCCCATGAGGGCCTACCTGGGAAACATAGGGAGACCCCATCTCAAAAAAAAAAAAAAGGCCAGACATAGTGGCTCATGCCTGTCATCCTAGCACTTTGGGAGCTCAAGGCAGGGGATCACTGGAGGTCGGGAGTTCAAGACCATCCTGGCCAATTCTAAGATAAGGAATTATGGAGATCAGAGTTCTTGTTACGCAGAGGAAGTCTTCAGATACTATGCTGCAGAAAGAATCGACTGCAAATGTTTCCTATCAGACTTAAGGGTGTGTTGATGTTACTGCAGGAGGCTGTAATGAGGCATGTCCAACCCCCACTTTCCATCATGGCCTGAGCCAGTCTCTCAGGTTAAATTTTAAGAGTGCCCTGGCTTAGAAGGAATTCAATTCAGATAATTGGAGACCCTTAGAATTTTATTTTTGGTTTGCATTCGACACTTAATTTTACTGAAAACAAAAAAGATGTCAAATGATAAGGTCATTGTATTAACACTGAATAGGTCTAATTTCTTTCATTGCTGGTTTGCCGTGCCCGTGAAATAAGAAAGTGGATCTCAGATTGTGTTTGGCAGTGCTGGTGTCAGACCCTGGGCGGTGACCTCCTACCTGGCCTGGAGACACTGAGCACCCTGTAGAAGCGGCTGAACAGGGGTCCTGAGCAGAAGCTGGGCTGGCCTCTGTGCAGAGGTACAGACACGGCCTCCTCTGCACTGAAAGTAGCACAGCGCTTGTGTGGGTCTTGGGGGCCGAGGCTGTCTGGCTGCTGGGTCAGCATGCCCTGGATGTGGCTGTTTAGACAGAAAAGACACTGAGTGCTGACCACCGGCCTCTCAGACGCCCTGGCAGGACACTCCTCCCGGTGCCTTCCAGACCGGACCTCTTCCTGCCTCACAGTTACTGAACGCCTTCCTTTTCTCCAAACTGACACGCTGCCAAACCCCCAGGCTCTCCCATACCCATCATTTCATTTTTCTACATTTCTCCTCCTTTGTAGAAAAGTTTGACTTTTTCCCAGAAGGTTTGATAATTTGAGATACATTAACAGAAAAAAAATGCAGATAAACTTTATCATGTGCATATACATGCAGAAGAATCACATAAAATGGACAGATGGTTGGGGCCTTTATACCATTTTGGGCATACAGAAAGAATGGGGGCTCGGAGCATGGCCAAAAATAGGTATGTTGGCAGGACAGGTTAATGGGATACGTAAAGAGAAGGCATGGCTGGAAGAGGTGTCTGGTTGTATAGTTGAAGCCTCACAGGAAGGCAGTCCTCAGAGAAAACAGTACATGTATCTTTAAGACCTTAAAGGTATGAGACTCACAGTTCGTCTTTTCTGCATCCCTGCAAGTTCCTTAGAGAAAGCCTGACTGCCTCTGCTGCTTACATCACTTTATCCCTCTGTGGATGCAGCTCTCCCCCACACGAAGCAGGTGTGTGGGACTCTTCTGCCTGCAGGCCTCTCCACAGCCAAATCAACGTACTTGCTTTCCTTCTCCTCCTTGCCCTTTGTCTGCCTGTGGAACGCCTCCTAATTACTGGAGCTCACTGTCTCATGAGGCTCCCTCAGCATCCCAGGAGATGTGACCCGCAGCCACTCTGTGCCTCACTGTGGTGCCAGCCCCCTCCCTTAATCCTCTGACTCTAACCTCACCGTCATCCATGTATTCACGTGCTTTACCTCCTAATCTGCCAGGGCTTTGCAGGCAGGGTCTGTGTCCTGTTAGTGTCTGTGTCCTTAGCTCCATGTGGAGGCCGGCTCAGAGCAGGTGCCTGGCTGAGTGACTGAGCAAACGAGAGCACTGGAGGGACCAATATTGAGAGAGAATTGCAGATCCCAGGCCTTGGAGGATCCTGAGGGCCCTCCCCTGTGGTGTGGGAAGATGTGGAGCTGGTTCGAGAATAGCCCGAAGAATATTGCCTTCCAGTGGCATCCTTGCTCCTGGGGAAAGGCTGTCCACCCTGTTTTCAGGTCTCGCCACCACTAGTTCTGCCACCATGGATGGACGATGGCCAAGGTGGGCTGGGTCCTTCTGGAAGGAGACAGGGCAGCTGTCAGAGGGTGTGCTGTCTCAGTGCAGAGCCAGCCTTTGTCGTTGGATGGGACTTGACTGGCAAGGTCTCCACCTGTCCTCTTTCTGCTAAAGCTGTCAGGAGAGGATGTGTAGGGGGCAGTGGAGGGGTTTTGTCTGGGACATAGGCCATCTGGGCCAACCTTCTCTGGGCCTCCCTTCTCTGGGCCTCAATCACCATGTCTGTAAATTGACAGGGCTGAACTCTGTGCTTTTTAAGGGTGTCCCTGCTTGAAGGGTCACTCCCTCCCCAGTGTCCTGGGGTGGAGGGAAGAGTCCCAGTGTGGGGAAAGCAGCAACAATGAGGATGATATTTGTTGGACATTTGCAGTATACCTGACACTGCTGAGCAGTCATTATTTAATCCTCACCACAATCTAATAGGAAAGGCACTGTTGTTTTTTGAGACAGTCTTGCTCTGTGGCTCAGGCTGGAGTGCAGTGACGCCATCTAAGCTCACTGCAACCTCTACCTCCCAGGTTCAAGTGATTCTTCCTCCTCAGCCTCCCTAGTAGCTGAGATTACAGGCACCTGCCACCATGCCGGCTAATTTTTTGTATTTTTAGTAGAGATGGGGTTTCACCATGTTGGCCAGGCTGGTCTCAAATTCCTGGCCTCAGGTCATCCACCTGCCTCGGCCTCCCAATATGCTGGGATTAAAGCTGTGGGTCACTGAGCCCTGCTGGAAAGCACTGTTTTTCATCACTATTTTACAGATGGATTCTCTTAATTTTGCAAAAGTTATGTATATTATTCAAAGTTGTATTTCTAGAAGTGGTGGCTGGGCAGGATTTGGATTTCTGGGTTGTTAGACCACAAAGCACACATTGCTAGCCTCTGCGTTGTGCTTTCCAGCAGGACAAGCAGTACCTGCGAGCTCCTGAGAACACCTGAGCTGAGAGCACTGAGGAGCACCTGGACCCAGTAACTTCTCTGAATCTCATGTGGGGGGAAGATGAGCCCCTGCCATGGAGCTGTGTTCTATGGCAGCCAATCACTGGTCAATAAAAAAGTAATCAGACAATGTCAAGTGTATATATAGTTGATATGAAAATACACATTTGAAAATTTGGAAATCCTTTTTTAAACAAAATTTTTTTTCAAATGAAACTTAGAATTTATTAATGTATTTACATAACTGATAACCTTTAAGCGATGGCCTCATAAATATAGACTACAACTTTACATATGCTAAGCAACAGATATTTGTTTTTCCCCACCAAAATACTTGGGTTAAAAAAAATTGACAGCATTTACACCAACTTCTTTACTTCCTCTCTTCTTCCTTTTTAAACAACTGCTAGTCAATTAGAACACATGAAATTCAATTTATTCCAGGCGGCTTCTCTACCATCAGCATCTTGATCATGAGAGCTTATTTTAAAAAGGTGCCAATAACATGTTTGGTGGCACACACATGACAAGTTCAGAAGCAAACCCAGGGTGAGCTACGGATCTGCTGCTATCATTGTTAATTTACTGTACGCATCCTAGGCTAACATAGTCAATGAAAAGTGCTTTAGAGATGGCAGAGATGAAGTCATTTCCATCAGTCCTATAAATGACCCATTTTAGCTTCAGATCATAATTGTCCTGTCCCCATTTAGGCTATCCTGCTGTATTTTAAATGATACAACTCCCTCTAACAGTGGTAACAGAAACCAAGGAAATCATAATCTCCACAAGGTCTCCCTTTCCTTTAAGAACCACAAAAGTGTTAATTTTCCCTTTACAAATGTTACATAATATCTTGATCACAAAACTACTCAACAATTTAATCTTACCACCCATGCAATTACATGTTCCTTTTCAGCAAGGTCAAAAGCCAATGATGTAGTCCCATTGTACATTAGAGATTCTTTACATAATAGAAGTCCACAGACTGAAATATCATTGCTGCAGTCTTTGGAGAAGAGATTGGTCAATATCTATGAATACTTTTTGCACGGAGAAGACTCAAGACCGCTAGGTGGAAACTGGTGGCAGGGTCCCAGCCCTCCTGTTAACTTTCAGAATCACCTACTTCATCATCAAGTATGAGGTTCGGTCAGCAGCAGCTCTGCTTTGGCTCTGAAGGCTGCCTTCGGAGTTTGAAGCCCTTACCGCCAGATGGCGGTTGGCGTCAGTGAATGTAATTCTTCGACTAATTTCTATAAAGAGTTCATTTATGTTTATCGCTTTTTTTGCGCTGGTCTCTACAAAAATTGCATGAATAGAGTTGGCATAGTCTTTTCCATCTCTCTCCATGACTTCTCTTACATCAATAAAATCACACATTTCCTGCAGTGGCAACTATAATATTAGGTGGGCTGTGCTGTCGATGCTCTTTCACCCAATCCTTTAATGTTGAAAATGTCTCTTCTTCTGTGATACCATAAACGATTACAGCTGCGGCCGACCCTCGATAGTACGTTGGTGCTAAGGCATGACATCGTTCTTATACAGCTGTATCCCAGATTAGGAATTTATGTAGCTCATTTTGGTACAGGACAGTCTTGGTCATAAAAGATGCCCCTTGGCTGGGCATGGTGGCTCACCCTTGTAATCTCAGCACTTTGGGAGGCCGAGGCAGGCGGATCACCTGAGGTCAGGAGTTCAAGACCAGCCTGGCCAACATGGTGAAACACTTTTTTAATTTTTTTATTTTTTATTTTTTTTCTGAAATATCAAAATATTTATTGAACAAAAGAATAAACATAAGCCCCAAAGAAAATATGACAAACTTTATACGTCAAATGTTAATTTTCCCCTAATTAATATAATTGCTTTCTGTTCGTGGTTTACAAAATGATTGATGTTTCCCTTCTATTCCTTTGTACCTATGTGTATCTAGCAGAAATGTTCTTAGCTCTGGCTACAGGCACACAGAAACTTGCTGTGGATGATCATGTTCAAATGTTTATTTCCTTTCCCCAGAATAAACTGGGGGACTGGCACTGTCTGGATTGATCACAGGACAGATGCTGAGGAAGCTCTGATCATCTTGAGTTTCACGTTTATGAGAAAAAAATGGACGCAGAGGCTCTATAACAGGAATGTCGTTGAATGTGTAGATATGGCACCCATCACTAACATTATAAAAGGAAATGGACCTCATACCTACATCCAGGTAAACCCCCACTCTCTGCAACTGGGGACTCACCCAGAGAAAAGTCAAAGGCATAGTGCTGGCGGCAAAGATCTGTCCTTTTCTGGAACCCACAGTCCAGAAGCCAAGTTCTGAAGAAAGTACAACGTCCCTCTGTCCATTCACAGATTCCTTGCAAATGCCCACATCCCATATTTTGTTGGTGCCCACATCCACCTCCCAGCAATGGCGGCCAGAAGTGAGGCGAGTGGTCCCCAGGACGCACCGCGCGGAGCTGAACCTTTCAGCCTGTCCCCTCCTGCTGCGTCTGAAATCCCCACGCCGGACGCTCCTCGGGTCTTCAGAAATGGTAAGACAGTTGCTGGCTGTGTCCACGTCCGAGGTCATATCCACTTGAAACTTCCTCATCCTTGGGTTCATCCTTAGAGCAGATTTCCGCATGGGCTCTCGTTCCTTGGTGATGGCAATCAGTGCCCTCAGCTCGTACTTGGGCTTGATGTCATTCTTCTGAGAGGCCACAGGGCATAAGGGGCACAGCACACCTTCCCCATGGGGCTCCTTCTGCAGCGAACTGACGCGTTGGAGGCAGCAGGTATATCCACATTTCAGTTGCATCGGTTCTTCAAGATCATTCAGACAAACGGGACGTCTAATTGTTTGACGTGTTCAGCCACAGCGAATGTCTTCCCGAGTTTCCTCCCCTGGCCTCCGGCTGCTTCTGCTGACAGCTCAGGTCTCCCTGTCTTTTTTTAAAAAATAAAAATAATAAATAATAATAATAAATAAAATTTAAAAAATAAAAAAATAAAGAAAAGATGCCCCTATTGTTGGGTTGATGTTTGGATCAAAACTGTCCTCCACAAACCGCCGCTCAATACTCGATTTACCTACACCTGGATCCCCCAGCAGACACACTTTGAGCTCCCACAGCGCTGTGGCCCGGAAGCCGCCCTAAGTTGAGGAGGGAGAGGGGGGCCCAGCAAGAGCATCCCCTGGCGCCCCCGCCGCCGCACGGCCCAGGACAGGTCCGCGCAGAGTCCGCTGCCGCGCGTCCCCCAGCCCTGGGTCCGACGCGTCCGCTGTCAGCCGCGTGGGGCCCGCCTTAGCAGCCCGGACGCCGCCGCTGTCTTGGGACGCCGGCCGCAAACGAAATTTTTAAATTTCATTTTTAATATATTTAGGGAGTCTAAGTGCAGGATTCTGCGTGCATATATTGCAGAGCGTTGGAGCCTAGGCTTAGAGTGTACTCATCACCTGAACAGTAAACATTGTACCCGAAGGCTGTTTTTCTTCCTCTCCCCTCTCCCACCGTCCCAGCTTTTGTAGTCTCCAAAGTCCATTATTCCATCTTATGTCCGTGTGTACTCACTGTTCAGCTCCCACGCATGCATGAGAACATGTGGCATTTGACTTTCTGTTACCGAATTATTTCTCTGGGGATAATGGCCTCCAGTTTCATCCACGTTCCTGAAAAGACATAATTTTTCATTTTTTTTATGTCTGAGTAGTATTACATTATACATATATTTATATATAAATATATATGTATGTATATATATTTATATATATACATACATATATGTATGTTATATATACATGTATATATGTTATATATACATAACATATATATGTTATGTATATATAACATATATATAATGTTTAACATATATAATGTGTAACATATATATAATGTGTAACATATATGTTATGTATATATGTTATATATACACGTAACAAATATATGTTATGTATACACGTAACAAATATGTATGTTATGTATACACGTAACATATGTATATGTTATGTATACACGTAACATATATGTATATGTTATGTATATATAACATACATATATAATGTTTCTTTATCCAGTCCTCCATTGATGGACACTTAGGTTAATTCCCTATTGTTGCTATTGGGAATAGTGCTTCAGTAAACACACACGAGCAGGTACCTTTTTGATATAATAAATTATTTCCCTTTGAGTGTCTACCCAATAGTGGGATTGCTGGATCAAATTGTGGTTCTAAATCCCAGCACTTTGGGAGGCCGAGGTGGGTGGATCACGAGGTCAAGAGATTGAGACCATACTGGTCAACGTGATGAAACCCCGTCTCTACTAAAAATACAAAAATATCAACTGGGCATGGTGGCACACACCTGTAGTCACAACTACTTGGGAGGCTGAGGCAGGAGAATTGCTTGAACCCAGGAAGTGGAGGTTGCAGTGAGCCGAGATCGCACCATTGCACTCCAGCCTGGGCAACAAGAGGGAAACTCCGTCTCAAAAAAAAAAAAAAATTGTGGTTCTATTTTTAGTTCTTGGAGAGACCTCCACTCTCTTTTCCATAGAGGTTGTACTAATTTACATCTACCATATATAAGTACGTATAAGTGTTCCCTTTTCTCTGTATCCTTGCCAATATCTATTGTTTTTAAACTTTTTAATAATAGGCATTCTGATTGGTGAAAGATGGTATCTTATTGTGGTTTCCATTTGCATTTCTCTAATGATTAGTGATGTTGAGTATTCTTTCATATGTTTCTTGGCAACTTGTATGTCTTCCTTTGAAAAATATCTGTTCATGTCCTTTTCCACTTTTTAAGTTGGTTTTTTTTTTCGTTGAACTGTTTTTCTTATAGATTCTTGATATTAGCCCTTTGACTGATAGTTTGCAAATATATATATTTTTCCATTCTGTAGGTTGTCTGTTTACTCTGTTGATTATTTTGCTGTGCAGAAGATTTTTGGTTTAATTAGGTTCCATTCGTCTCATTTTGGTTTTGTTACACTTGTTTTTAGGACTTAGTCATACATTTTTTGCCAAGGCCAACATCCAAAAGAGTTGTTCCTAGATTTTTTTCTGAGATTTTTATATTTTGAGGTTTTATCTTTAGGTCTTTAATCCATCTTGAGTTGATTCTTATATGTGGTGAGAGGTATGGGTCCAATTTCTTTCTTCTGCACCAGGCAATCCAATTTTCCCAGAGCCATCAAGTGAATATGGTGTCTTTCTCCAGTGTATATGTATATTTGACTTTGTCAAAGATCATTTGGTTGTATATATGTGGCTTTATTTATGGGTTTGCTATTCTGTTTCATTGGTTTACGGGTCTATTTTTATAACATTACCATGTTGTCTTGGTTATCGCAGCTTTGGAATATAGTTTGAAGTCAGGTAATGCGATGCCTCCACCTTTGTTCTTTGTGCACATGATTGCTTTGGTTATTCAGGCTCTTTTTTTGGTTTCATATGATTTTATGATTTCAGGATTTTTTTTTTCCAATTCTGTGAAAAATGAGTTAGTAATTTTACAGGAATTACACTGTACTTCTGGGTTGCTTTGGGCAGTATGGTCACTTTAACAATATTAATTCTTCCAATCCATGAGAGTGGGAAGTTTGTCCATTTGTTTGTGTGATCAGTGATTTCTTTCATCTGTGTTTTGTAATTCTCCTAATAGAGATATTTCATTTCTTTGTTTACATTTATTTCTAGGTATTTTATTTTTAAAGCTACTGTAAAGGGAGTTGCCTTCTCAGTTTGATCCTCAGCTAGGTTGTTACTGGTGTACAAAAATGTTACTGAATTCTGTACACTAATTTTGTATTATGAACTGTTACTGAATTCATTTATGAAATCTAAGAGTTTATTGGTAGAGTACTTAGAGTTTTCTACATATAGATCATAGTATCAGTGAACAGGAATAACTTGGCTTTCTTTTTCTAGTTTGAATGCCTTTGTTTTTCTTTTGTCTAATTCCTGTGGCAAGGACTTTCAGTACTACATTGAGTAAGAGTGATGAAGGCGAACATCCTTGTTTTGTTTTAGTTCTTAGAGGAAATGCTTCTAACTATCCCCTGTTAAGTGTGATTTTGGCTGTGAGCTTGTTGTATATGGCATTTATTATGATGAGCTGATTTCTTCTATGCCTAGTTTTCTGAGGATTTTTATCATGAAAGGATGCTGAATTTTATTAAAGTATTTTTGTGCCTTTTGAGATAATTATATGGGTTTTGCCCTTAATTCTGTTTATGTGATGTATCATGTTTATTGACTATGGACTTCTGTATGTTGAACTATCCTTGCATCCCTGAAATAAATCCCACGTGATAATGGTGCTGTATCTTTTTGATGTGCTGTTGGGTTCAATGTGCTAGTATTTTTGTTGAGGATGTTGTGTCTGTGTTCATCAGAAGGATTGGTATGTCGTTTTCTTCTTTTATTGTGTCCTTTTCTGGTTTAAGTGCCAGGGTGATGCTGGCCTTGTAGAATGAAATAGGAAGAATTCTCTCCTTCTTGATTTTTTAGAACAGTTTCAGAAGGATTGGAATCAGTTCTTTGTGTATTTGGTAGAATTCAGCTGTGAGCCCAGCTGGTCCAGGGCCTCTACTTTTTGGCAGTTTATTATTATTATTACTGACTCCATAGACCTGCTCATCGTTGGTCTGTTTGGGATTTCTACTTCTGCCTGGTCTAATTTCAGGATGTTGTGTGAAAACTTGAAAATCTATAATCCAAACTTGTGTGATGCATGAAAGAAAAGCAAAGGATTGAGCAGAGTACTGGGAGCTTTGTGTAGTGGTCTGTTTTTATTTTTTTCAGCTTTATCCAAATGTTTGCAATCATGAAAACTCCGGGTCCAAGCCTCTGGGCTCACAGGTTCCCTGCCTGTGACAGACCCAGTGTGAGGCGGGCAGGGCAAGACCCATTTTATTAATGCATTTGTTTGGCTACATTGCAGGCTCTTTTGACAGGTCAGATTTCTTGTACATCCATGTGGAAGCTGTGGCCCTTTGACGCACTGTTTAGACTAAGTACCAATTAAAGCTTTCAGTGAGCCCAGCACTGGCAGCCTACAGCCTCTTAGTTACCTGGGGTGAGCTATTAAATAAAGGATTGCTGCCAAAGTGCCGTGCTGACAACCATTCACAGTGGCTGGCCAGTCCCTGTCCTGCCCGGCCATCTGTGCACCTAAGGGCCAGAAAGCTGGACACGCTACCCAGAAAGAGGTTTGGTCTAAAGAGAATTGTAACTACAGTTGAGGGAATTTTATGAGTTTCCAATCTCAGGCTGCAAATTCAGGGAATTATTTTTCCAGGTACTCAAAATATATTAAGGTATTTTATTATAACTTTTTACTAGATATTAACAATTCAAACTCTCTCTTTTAGAGTGTAATCTTCATCAGGACAGGATCTATGCCATTTAGGAGCAATATTTGACATCAATTTGGGGCTTATATGCCAAGCCCTTACAAAATGCCACACACACACACACACACACACACACACACACACACACACACCTTCCCAAACCCTGAGAACTATCTATATCCACATTTTATAGTTTTTAACAATGACTATAAGGAAGCATTGGGCCTGTCTGGAGTCATTCAGATGCTAAGTGACGGGGTAAGACTTTGGCCAAGGTCCCTCGGACCGCAGATTCTCTGGGATGTGTTTTCCATGTGGTTTACTCGCCCTCTCACAGTGTCCTGTTGGTAAAAGTGAAAATTAACATCTATAATGTTTACTATGAGTTGGATGCTAACCTATGTGTTTAGAGGAATGTGCTGTTAATATTTTTCCCCTTTCATAGTTGAGAAAGTTGAGGTGTATTTACATACCCCATTTGGGCTAACTTGTCCAAAATACTGACGCTTGTGTCACAGACAGGATTTGAACCAGAAAACCTAGTACCAGAGGCCATCCTCATAACTGCCCTGCTGCCACAGCTCTTCAGGGATGTTGACAATGTCTGTGAAGCTTATATTTTAGCACAGAAATGGTTGATTGGTCCAGAAATTCACATGGCAATTATCATCGGTAAGCTTCCTCTGTCCCTCCATGTTTATAAGCAGACCTGCCACACAGATTTACATAAAGATGCTTTGTTCCATGGCCTAGTTGATTGTAGATTCCTGAATTATGAGTAAGTTACCTCTGGGAGGTTCACAGGCTTTGAGTATTGGAGCCTTTGATTTGTGTGAGGATCAGCTGCTCCTGCTACTGACCAGGTAGCTTGCTCTAACTGTTATTGAGTATTATTGATCTGAGGGTCAGATTTCTCAAAGACCTCAGAGCTCTGAAAACAGGGCCCTTGCTTCTGGACAGTAAAGAGAACTGATGGAAAGGTTGTGTGTTAGACCAAGTAGACAGTTAGCACTTTCAGAAATTCTGGAAGAGTCTGACGACTGTTTGGGCAAGAATTGTGGTGGAGACAGAGAGAAACACATAAATATAAGGGTTGTTTAATAAGAGCTTAGTAATGGATTGACTTATGGGGCAAAGGAAATGAGGAAATAAAGGTTCTGAGTTTCTAGCTTGTATTACTAGATGAAAAGTCATTTATTTTAATTTGTTAGGAAACAGTACAGAAAGTGAACTCATTTCAGAATAAGACAGGGAAGATTGTACACTCTACTGGGGGCTTGTGTTTTAAGTCTCTTGAAATGTCCAGGAAGAGACACCAAGGAGGCCATTGAACACAGGGGCCTGAAGCTCAGAAGAGAGGTCTGGACTGGAGACAGCATTAGTGTGTCATCTAAGTACAGAGGTGATGGGATCCACAGGCCTGTGTGACACACTCTAGGAAAAATGCTGAGTAAGAAGAAAGGCAGGCTTAGAATCCAGTTGTAAAGGGTCCAACAAAGCATGGTCAGGTAGAGGAGAATGAGCCCACCAAATAAACAGCAACAGTAATCATCCCATTTCATCTCCAGGGCTCAGCTGAGCTCCCTCCTCCCCACCTATCCCATCAAGTTAGCCCTGAGTAGACATGGAGTTGGGCAGGGAGCTGAGCCTCTTCATAAGAACGAGGCAAGGAAGAGAGCAAACAGCACCAGACAGGTGGCCTGATGTGAAAGGCGAGCCTTGGTAATTTGTGTCTGAAGGTCTCTAGACTATCCTACCAATGTGGCTGTTTTTCCTATGCAGAAAATGGTTCTTCCTTCTAGAACATGATTCTTCCTCTACCACTCTAACAAGGTAGCTGAAGTAAAAATAGGCATATTCATTTTTATTTATTTCCACAACAGGTCCTTGACCCAGCCTAGGCCAGGCAGAGACCTTCTGGGGTTTCCTTATTTTTTCCACGAGCCCTATGAGAGCCCATCTCTGCTTCAGGTCCCAGTGTGAGGTGAGTGCTGGGGCATTACCGAGCAGATGCTGTCTGAGAGATGAAGGTCATTCTCCATGGAGCGGAGAAAATGCCTAGTGTCCTCTTCCACCAAGCCACTGAGTCAAGTCACTCCCGAGACTCAACTGTATTCTAGACATTCATGGAATTTGATGACTCACAATAAATGCTGGGTTTTTTTACCCTGATACTCTCCTGTGTTAGATTTCAGGCACATATAAAGTGTCCTGATGTATAGCTACAGTAGGTCCTCTGTAGCCACAGGTTCTACATACACACATCAAAAATATTCAGAAAAGCAATAACATATAACAATAAAAATTATTGGAATAAAAACCATGCATCTGCAGATTTTGGTATCTGGAGGTTCTTGGCATCAATGCCTCATGGATACAGAAGACTGGCTGTATGTGCTGAGTAAAATGGTCATGCTCTTGGCTAAGGTGCTGCTGTGTGTCACAGCAAGCCCTGATGGTGACTGTAAAGTGGCTAAAGGGGGTGAGCACAGGTCCCCAGGAGGCCCCCAACAGTTCGGGCTGCAGGTATCCTCTCCAGGAAGTGTGATCTGCCCTGGGGTGGGTGGCAGGAGTCCTGTCAGGGAGGGAGCAGATGTGTGTGTTTCTCCTATGAATGGCTACAGGTTATGATTTGTGACTCTGCATGTGGAGGTCCCATTGTCTCTTACCAAGTGCTGAGCCTTGAGGAAGATACCACTTTACAGAATATGCTGAGTTCTGTTGAATCATTGGAGTAAGTTGCTCAAGTCACTCAGATAGAGGGCGAGAGGGAGATGCCTCCAGCTGGAGGAAGAGCAGATGCACAGCCAGGGGCCGCCCTCTGACCCTGGATTCCCCGCTGGGAGCCACACTGTGCACACAGGGGAGCAGAACGTGATGGAGAGAGTGTATGTATGTGTGTGGTGGGCAGGAGAGGTTGTGATATAAAAGCAGAGTAATTCAGAACAAAACTTCTTACTAAAATATTTTTCTCTTAATTATCTGAGCTTACTGCAAACTGAGTTATACGAATGCAGTTGACCTACTAAATAGGTTATGTGAAGGCAGACAAGAATGAGAGCTAACAGGCATTTTATTGCCAACCGTGTCCCCTGGAGTGTCACTTGGCCTGGCCTATATGTCCTTAGTGTTCCCAATGATCCTGCAAAGTGAGCACTGTCATTCCCACTCTGTAGCTGAAAACAGGCTCCGAGGAGCCAGTGACACGGCCGAAGTCCCCGCAGGAAAGAGGCAGAACCAGGCCTTACTTAAATGTCAGTCATGTGTCTCCAAATCTGGAAATTCCACTGTTTCTGCACTGGCCGCCTAACCCTGCCGGGGGCTTCTCTGAGCTGAGAAACACACAGAGGGTGTGAGGTGACTGTGTGAAGCTGGTCCCCCCTCTGCCAGCTGACACTCCATCCTCAGGCTTCAGCTGGACTCCCTCCCTCTGGCTGCGTCCCCACGACCCTGTGCCTACTGCAGGCTGTCATGTGTGACATTCTCCATCTCCCACGCAGCTATTTCTTCTCTGTCACCTTTTTCCCTTTTCTCTCACTGGAACACTTGAGTCTTGGTCTTTATCTTTCCTTGCTCTCCCACAGTCTCCCCCACATGCACAGAAACCTCTCCGTTGTTCTCTTTCCTTTCTCTCTCTTCCCCACTGGCGTGTTCTCTCTGTTGTCATTTTCCCGTCCCCTCAGCTTCCTCTTCCATCTTTTGCCTCCTGTCTAACTCCACCCCTCTCTCTCTCCACTCTCAGTCCCAGGCTTCCCTCTTCCTGCCTGCAGCCAGGGGGTCTGGCCAGGCAATCACCTGGACACCAGCACTTTCGGCAGGTCCTCAAGGAGTCGCCAGACTGTCCTGGTTGGTAAATCAGGTTGGGGAGAAAAGGGAGAGGGATTTATTCAGAGTCAAGGTTGGGCAGTTTCACACAGCAGAATCCCTCAGGGCTTTGGCCCAGGCCTGCTGTACACCTGAACAGCAGGTGTACCTGTCTGGGCCCATGTAACTAATGTCCTCGGGGATGCGAGCTGGCATAGCACGGATGTGCTCAGGGCCTGCTCCTCACAATTCTGCCAAGGTTCCTGCCAGTACACTTGCAAACAGAAGAAAAGCAGATCCTCTTCAGGAACTCCTGGCCCACCTGGGCTCAGGTTTATTGGTGTTTATTTGGAACAATTACATGATCATCTTCTTCTCCCCCTTGGTGATGAACCAGGTGTTCTTGTAAAAAGAAAGCCGGATGTTTTTCTTTGGCTGATTTTGCTGTTACAGTCTTCAAGAAATGAGGTGGGAATTGAAGACACTTTTTATCTGGAGAACTAGAAAACTTCTAATACCCTGGCACCTGTAAAAAAAAAAAAAAAGCCAGGAAGTAGAAAGGGGGGCGTGGGTGAGAGGGGCAGGGGGCAGGGCTCCTGTAGTCAGGCTTGGCATAAGGATGAGGCAGCAATCGCTGGACAAGGCTGAGTTCACTGTCGCTCCCTTCCCCAGGGTTTATTATTTCTTGTCTGGAAGATTTAGCAGTTTTGGTTTCCCCCACTGGCCTTTAGATACATGGTAATTCTCCTGAGACATGCTATTGGATGTGCTACTGCTCCCCTTGGAACCAGGATGTCAGCAATACATCTATTTAGATTTCTGTTTAATTTTAACACTATTACTCTGTCAGAAATATTAGTAATAGTAGTAAAATTAAAGTAGGAGCTTGTTAATATCGTATAGGACATGAAAACCTTTTTCTTCTGTCCCGTTAGGGAATGGGCATGAGAGTGAATCCAAAGCTGTCAGGACAGGATCCCTGACTCCAGGCACACAGCGCCAAGTAGGTCCTCCCCATAAGATATCCAGATATCCAGGCTCTAGGGATGTACGCCTTCCTGAGGCCACTGGAATTCACAATGACGGCACCCAGGGAATGCAGTGGAGGACATCAGGCCCCTCATCAGGGAAAAAACTGTAAAGATGCAGGAACTGGGAAGCAAGATTTATCAATGCAGTGAAGACTATGGCCTCATGATTGCTTGAGAGAAAATCAGCCTATTATTTATTCCTGAAGGTTTGAATGTATGTGTGACCCCTCCAAAATTCCTAAGTTGAAACCTCACCCCTAAAGCAATAGTGTTGGGAGTGAGGCTTTAAGAGGCAGTTAAGTCATGAGGGCAGAGCTATCAGGAGTGGATTAATGTTGTTATGGAAAGAGCTCACAGAAGTGAGTGCTCACAGAAGAGAGTTCACTGACTGGCCCTTTCACCTTCTGCCCTGTGATGACACAGCAAGAAAGCCCTTGCCAGATGCTGACACCTTGATCTTGGACTCCCCAGCCTCGAACTGTGAGAGAACAACCTCATGTTTATTAGGAATTGCTCGGTTCCAGGTATCCTGTGAGAGCTGCATAGAACGCACTAGGTCACATCCCATCTTGAAATTGAGCCAGTGTTGCTGCCCACTGATCTCACTAGGTCATAAGGAATTAGGACAAGGACATGCTAGTGCTCTTCAAAGCACCTCAGGTATAATGAGGGCCAAAGTGTTTCTGGAAACACACATTATAAAATATCAGCAATCACCCTCCTCTTGTAGCCCCACAGGACCCAGAAGCCAGCAGCCATCCTGGAGAGGAAGGTGCATCTCTTTTGACTGCTGTCCCCAGAAGCAAGAACCAGTCCTTCTGGGCCCTGCAGCTCTCCCTGCCCTGGGTGTCCTCTGTCACATCCCAGGTAAGGACCATGAGCAGAGGTGTGAGCCTGCAGTGACTCAAGGTGGAAGGAGCTCCATGAGGAACAAGAGATGCTTGTCCAGGGCTCCAGTGTGTAGGCACCAGGTCAGCTGGCCTCTACCACACTCTAAATGACAGTACCTCAGCCCTGGCCCCATGGGGAACTGAAGTGCTTTCAGTAACTGCTATGTCCATTATAAAATCAAGGAGGGGAAAAGGTTACTAACATGATGAGCATTTGTGTTTTATTTGTCAGGAAAAACTTAGTTACAAAAATGTTTTCTCCCCACTGGCCCCACTGTGGTCCAGGTGTCTTTGAAAGCCAACTTACGTTTTTCCTGTGATGCGAGCCACACAGCTCCTAAACCAACCCTTGTACATGTTTAAAAATGTTTTGCAGCCGGGCGCAGTGGCTCATATCTGTCATCCCAGCACTTTGGGAGGCCGAAGAGGGCGGATCACAAGGTCAAGAGATCGAGACCATCCCGGCCAACATGATGAAACTCCGTCTCTACTAAAAATACAAAAAAATTAGCTGGTGGCGTGCGTCTGTATTCCCAGCTACTCAGGAGGCTGAGGCAGGAGAATTGCTTGAACATGGGAGGCAGACGTTGCAGTGAGCCAAGACCATGCCGCTGCATTCCAGCCTGGTGCCTGGCAATGGAACGAGACTCTGTCTCAAAAAAAAAAAAAAAAAAAAAGTGTTTTGCCTCTGGACTTAGGCCAAGCGGGGGCCAGAGGAAGCATGCCCTAGAACAGGGCTTGCAGCTCAAAGTCCAGGCTTCTGTGCTGGCAGTGGCTCTGGGGAAGGCCCCGAGAGGCGACTTTCCTGCAAAGGCCTCTGAACTGTGCCTCAGCCACAGGCTCAGCCACTTGATGTGGGTAGTTTTTCCCAGGGAGGGAAATCGGCTGAGGTCCAAGGAAGGAGAGGGTCAGTAAATAAAACACTGAACCACGGTCCTCAGTGTGCTGTGGTCAGTGGATGGAGTAGGAAGTACAGGCTTTGACCATGGCGCTCCTTCCAGGACCCTTCATTCATTCATTTATTTGAACATGTTGTTGGTGTCAGGTGCCGTGCGAAGCCTGGTTCTAGAGAACATGTTTACTGAAACCCTTGTACATCTAAGCTTGGCTCCTTGATGCTCAACTCAGTCACTTTGACCTTGGCTTTTTCATAAACTCCTTTAAGCCTATTTCTATAACTCTAAACAGCTTTTAATTGCACCCTGTACTTAGGAAGTCTTAAGTTAATGAATGTCAAAAAGTAGTTACTGTAGTGTCTAGAAAGGGGTAAACAAAAGGTAAAGAACCAAGAATCAGGTGAGCAATCCAAGTACATCCTTTGAACTTCATGTCACTGAAAGAGACATTAAGGAGGGTAGGAAAGACAGCCTTAAATTGCCGGCACCATCCCGTCCTCATCTTCTGGCAGCAGGAGAGTTTGTTTGTTGGAGGAGAGACAGAGCAGTCACTGGGGACTCTGCATTGGAGCTCAGCGCTGCCCTGTCACAGTGGAAAGCAAGGCTGAGCAGAACTCAGCCTGCACCCACAGAAAGAGCATGTACACCAGCCCTAGCCAGGGGGAATCTCCCATCCCAGGGGTTGGAACTTCAGTTTTGGCAAGCTTTGCACCAGGAGCTCAAGTGCTCCGGGGCTCTACATAAACCTGAAAGGCAGTCTAGGCCACAGGACTGAAATTCCGAGGCAAGTCCTAGTACTGTGCTGTGCTCAGAGCCCGTGGATGAGGGGGACCCAGGACCTGGTAAGATACCAGCCCAGGCGGTAAGGGAGCGTTTGCACCACTCCCCCTACAAGCCCAGGCAGTTCCGCTCACAGCAATAAAAGTGACTCCTTCTTACCGCTTGACCAGGGTAGAGGAGAGAAGAAAGAGGACTTGTTCTTCCATCTTGGATACCAGCTCAGCCACAGCAGATAGGGCACCGGGCAGAGTCATCAGGCCCCCATTTCAGGCCCTAGTTCCTGGACTACACATCTAGACACACCCTGGACCAGAAAAGAATGGCTACCTTGTTTTTTATTTTTTATTTATTTTATTATTGCATTTTACGTTATTGTTTAGAAGCTTGTCTTATAAACTTTAATTTTTAATGATAAAATACAACAGAGGAATATGCAAAATATAAATGGAATTATAATATTCTTTATAGATAGGATTCAGTGACTGCAGTTAAATGTTAAAATGCACCTTTTCATACAATCTGAATGATTCCGTGAAAATTTTAGTTATGTGTAATGTACTAGATGAGAGTATCTAAGAAAAATAATGTATGTATTTTGAATACAAAGAGAAAACAAACAAAGCAAATGCAAATATATCATGCTAAACTTAAAGACATTTTAAATTATAATGCTAATATTTGTATTTTATGTAAAAGTATGGTGGCAAAACATTTCTAGATAGAAATGAATATGTCATTTATCAGGCTAGTAGGCTGAGCTTCTTGTTGAACACTCATCTGCCATACAAGAGTGATGAAAACCACAAAAATGCCAGCTAACACAATTTTTTTTTTTTTTTTAGAACCAGTTTTTTAACCCAGGCAGTATGGCTCCAGAATCTAAAATCTAAATCATCTTGTAGTTACTTTACTGAGACTATAGAAGGATCCTTTTGCCCTTTTTTATTTTTTAAAGAAAAAAAAGAAAGAAAGAAGAAAAAAAAAAAAGAATGAAGGCGAGGAAGAAAGAGGAAGAGGAAGAGGGAGAGAGAAGGGGAGTGTTGCTTTATTTCCCAGGCTAGAATGCGGTCTAAAAATGGGTATTGAAAACCTCTTTTATGCCAATAATTGTGTTTAATAATGGAGACAGGAAAAAATGAGGGAAGAAAATAACAAACAAGCAGCCAACCAATATTTCATTTAAACCTGTGAGTAGGTGTGATGTGGTACTGATAAGAGTGTGTATTTTGCGTATTTGAAGTGGAGAGTTCTATAAATGTTTATTAAGTTTACTTGTTCCGGATCTGAGTTCAAGTCCTGGATATCCTTGTTAATTTTCTGTCTCGTTGATCTGTCTAATATTGATGTTGAAGTCTCCCACTATTATTGTGTGAGAATCTAAGTCTCTTTATCAGTCTTACGTATCTGGGTGTTCCTGTATTGGGTGCGTATATATTTAGGATCGTTAGCTCTTCTTGTTGCGTTGATCCTTTTACCATTATGTAATGTCCTTCTTTGTCTCTTTTGATCTTTGTTGCTTTAAAGTCTATTTTATCAGAGGCAAGAAGTACAACTCCTGCTTTTTATTTATTTATTTATTTATTTTTGCTCTCCATTTGGTTGGTAAATCTTTCTCCATC